AAGCCTCTGCTGATCAGGCAACTCAGTGGGATCATCAGAGGCATTTAAAAGAAAAAAAGGCTCTTTACAAGCCTCTGACGATCCTGCTGAGTTGCTGATCGTCAGAAGCATTTAAAAGAAAAAAAGCCTCTGCCATCAGGCAACTCAGCTGGGATCGTCAAGGCTTTTGAAAGCATTTTTTTACAACCTCTTCGCCGAAGAAGTTGTAGAAAAAATTGTTTTAAAAGTTTTTTTTAAAAAAATGGCCACGCCCACCCAGTCACATTACCCCCCCACCAAGCCACGCCCACAGAACCGGTAGTAACCAATTTTAGATTTCACCACTGGACTTACTGCCTTGACACTGAAAACAACGATCTGATCTGAATTAGGACCACAATGCCCAGCACCTGGGAATCCTAGCTTTCCCTCAGACCCCTAGTTACAAGAATCTACCTTCCCTTAAAAATTGTTGTGCATGCAATTTTGTAGATGTGGAAATAGTAGTTTACTGATTGTTTACAAAAAGTGTTAAGTGAATATTTAGGGGAGTGGAGGAAATGGATAGAGTTGAATAAATGTTTAAATTAAGATTTATGGGGAAGGCTCTTTGAAATGTTATATATATGTATGGGGGAAAAAAGGCAGATTGTTGCTAGATTGGGAGTTATCAAATTAGAAGTTATTATATACGTTATTTTGAAATGTATGGTAAAAGGAAGTAATAATATTAATAATATTATTAGCATGTACCGTATTTAGAGGAGGGATAAGATCTGCAATTAGGAAGAAGTCACGGATGGGTGGTGAAGGGAGAGGGGGGAGATAAATGGGGGAAAAGTATTTGAAAACATTTTCAACCAAATAAAAAAATCTACCTTCCCTTTCCATGTCCACCTCAACCCCCCTCTACGTTAAGCCTCCTCCATGCTACCAAAGTCTTGGACAAGAAAGAAAGTAAGTTTTTATAAACCCAAGTTTGCATTGGGACAGGAAGGCTCCAAAAAGACAACATGGCGGTAGCATCCACACAACAAAACCTTTTCCTGTTTTACATGCATTGCACAAAAGGGAGGAATTTTCATTGCACAACTGGGACCTCCATCTAACCTTAACCCTAACCACCCACCACCCAATGCAGAGTAGATTCAGCCACCAATGCCTTATACCTCCACCAATTAAAGGAATAATTTAAATATTGGACATCTTTGTAGACCCGATTACCCCATGTTTATTCAGTTTTTCAAGGTTTGCCCAATGCACTGATTCATAAACTAAATCCGACCAGGAACCCACAAAACACCAAGCTAAGTCTGGCATTGGTTGGAATATGGCTCAGTGCAGAGGTGGGTTTCAGCAGGTTCTGACCAGTTCTGTAGAACCGGTAGCGGAAATTTTGAGTAGTTCGGAGAACCGGTAGTAAAAATTCAGACTGGCTCTGACCCCATTTATTCTCTGCCTCCCAGGTCCCAACTGATCAGGAGGAAATGGGGATTTTGCAGTAACCTTCCCCTGCCATGCCCACCAAGCCACGCCCACAGAACCAGTAGTAAAAAATTTTGAAACCCACCACTGGCTCAGTGTGTCACTCAAGTCCAGCCACTCTTCAATATGTGATTGTTTGGGAGCGCCAAAAGAGAAGATGCAGGCTGACAACTATCCATCCATCCATCCATCATCCATCCACCTACCCATCCATTTCAGCTTCTTCTGACCTCCTTAAGTGTTCCATACAGGTGGCTTTGCAGGTCCTGAAAACACCTGCATTTCTCCTCTGCAGGTATCCATCCTGCCTGCCCCAAATTCTTCTGCCTTTAGTTCTTCCACCATCCCATCTCTCTCCTCAGTTCTTTTCTCTTGGAAGCAGACTGAGTTCTGCACAATACAGAGATGCCCCTTTAGTTAAGCCGGCCTTTTCTGAGCCCAGAGTGTTTTATGACCGCTTTATCCAGGTGAGTTTGGCTTTTCCCCCCCTCACAGTCCTGCTGGCAGGGAGTAGGAGATGCAGCCTCGCACACCTGGAGGGCGCCAGGTTGGGAAAAACTTTTCCCGAAGCGAAGCCACCAAACTTGTCACTCAGGAGGAAACATTACACCGAAATGAAAACACCAAAATCTGCAGGCAACACTTAAACTCAGTTGCAGGAAACGAGAATCGACTTCCCTGCTGTCCTCAAGAACAAAGGCCTTTCTTTCCCTTACATAAGTCGCTCTTTCCTTCCCAGGCTAGTTGTGTATCAGTTTGCACAACCCATTAAAACCCATTTTCTTGTATTTAGACCCAGTTTGTGGGGGGCAATAAGCTGACTTTGTATAAAATATACAAAAGTATGAAGGCTATTGCTTAACGCATTGTAAGGCGCCCTGAGTCTCCGGAGAAGGGCGGCATATAAAAATAAATAAAAATAAAAATAAAAACTTTTCGTTTGAGGGGTTTTTTGGGGGGAAGGCTGGTGAGTGAGTAGTAGCTTAGCCTATGTGTACCCAATGCATTGCATGAATTTAGAAAGAAAAGTGAATTTACTGAATAAAGGTAGTTGTGTAAATAAAATGGGTGTTGTTTTTTTTCCAGATTCTGGAAAGGCAATGGGAAAAGATGGAAGACCCACACAGTCCATCTTTCAAAATAACCTCTGGTGAATTTTTATTGCTACTATTCAGGCATGTCTGGAAGGCAGGGTCAAAAAAAGCCAAGATGGCAGCCATGATGATGTCATCGTAGCTCTGCCTGTCACACACAGTACAACAGGGGTGTCAAACTCAAGTCATCATGGTGGCGTCACATGATGTATTGGGACTTTTCCCCTCTTCACTAAACTGGGTGTGGGAGGGGGCTAGCACGTGACGCATCCGGCCCGAAGGCCGCGAGTTTGACTCCCCTGCAGTAGCGCATCCTAAGGACAGAACTGCAACCTCCTGAAGTTGCAGACAGTAGACATAGACATAGCTAACCATGGTTGACTTCCTTATTGCAAACCCAACGGACTCCCTTGAATAGTGGGATGATGCACGCCAAAGGATGTCCCCACCCCCACCCCCCACCCCCCACCCCCCGTGGGTCAGTCCTGAGCCCTTCTAGGAGCCTTGGGAAGCCTAAAGGAGCCCATCCACAAAATGTCCCGGACCGAATCTGGATGCAGAAGGTTAGTTGGGAAGGGGTGGCCCAACCCAATCTTTGCTTCACTCCCAGTTCACATGAGCCTTTCTGGTTTTCCTACCCTCTGAAAATGCAACGGCTGAGCTGAAACCTACTAGTGGAAGCTCGCAAACACAACTGACCGTCCATCCTACCCACCCAAAGCAGGAGGGTCTCCACATGGGGTCAAAAAGTCAAAATGGCAGCTCCGTGGGGGGAGGGGGTTGCCTCCCCTTGTGGATTCTCTGATCCGAAGAGCAGCAGTTGGGAAAATAAGAGGCCCAGCTGAATTCCCTGGTTCTATGTTTCCTACTTTCCTTTTGGGGGAAAAAATAGCATAGAAATGGGATTTAAAAAGCCGCTTTCACAGAGATCCTCTTTCAGGGCTCCTGGGTGCAACAGGCAGGACTCTTTGCAAACTGGTAGCTCTCCATGATAGTTTTTGACATGAAATGGAAAAAAAAAAACAAAACATCCTTCTTTGGAAGGAGGATAATTAAATCCACCCACCAAATCATCTTTTCACAGCCCTGGGGCTCTGCTGAATGTGGCTCTTTGGAAACTCAAGCCTCTACAAAATCTTTTGTTTGGTTTTGTTGTTACATGTCAGGCGCTGTTAATTTTGCCAAGAAGGCTCTCTGGCTGCTGCTTCATTCTTCAACACATCTGGCCAATATTTCAGATTGCAGCCCCAAACCTCTTATGCAAACACAATGCATCATGTCAGTTGCGGGGCAAATAACATGAGCAAGCATTTTATTTCTTCCCTGGATGCAATTCCTGGAGCTGCAGAAAGCAGCAAAAATAGGGAGGGGAAAAAAAAAGAACGGGGAATGCACATTTGATTAATGGAGAACAAAGGAGCAGCGACTCAGACTTAAGGGGGAAAATGGGCTAAAAATAAATTTAAAAAGACACATCACAACAATGTATTCTCTGCAATGGAGCAACTTCGAATTGACTCCGGAGTTCAGGAGATCTTAAAAAGTTGCTCCGCAGGAATTCTTAACAATCCATCAAGGGAAGGAGGCTCAGCTGAGGGATTTACTAAGGCTTCGGAAAATGGCATTTGTAAATCTAAAACCAAAGTGGCCACAGCTGATAGCTGCTCTTTGGCTAAACTTTTCCCAAACAAAGCAATGTTGCGAAAGAAAGAAGGAAGGAGAAGGAAGGAAGGAAGGAAGGAAGGAAGAAGAAGAAGGAAGGGAAGGAAGAAGAAAGAAGAAGGAAGAAGAAGAAGGAAGGAAGGAAGGAAAGAAGAAAGAAGAAGGAAGGAAGGAAGGAAGGAAGAAGAAAGAAAGAAAGAAGGAAGGAAGGAAAGGAAGGAAGAAGGAAGGAAAGAAAGAAAGAGGAAGGAGGAAGGAAGGAAAGATGGAAGGAAGGAAGGAAGGAGAAGGAAGGAAGAAGAAGGAAAAAGAAGAAGGAAGGAAGGAAGGAAGGAAGAAGGAAGGAAGGAAAGAAGAAGGAAGGAAAGAAAGAAAGAAGAAAGAAGAAAGAAAGAAAGAAGAAAGAAAGAAGGAAAGAAGGAAGGAAAGAAAGATGAAGGAAGAAGGAAAGAAGAAGGAAGGAAGGAAGAAGGAGGAAGGAAGGAAGGAGGAAGGAAAGAAGAAAGAAGGAAGAAGAAAGAAGGAAGGAAAAAGGAAGGAAGGAAGAAGGAAGGAAGAAAGAAGGAAGGAAGGAAGGAAGGAAGGAAAGGAAGGAAAGAAGGAAGGAAGAAGAAGGAAAGAAAGAAAGAAAGAAAGAAAGAAAGAAAGAAAGAAAGAAAGAAAGAAAGAAAGAAAGAAGAAAGAAAGAAAGAAAGAAAGAAAGAAAGAAAGAAAGAAAGAAAAAAGAAAGAAAGAACAAGGAGCCAACTTTGGAGGAAAGAGGAAAGCGGCTGCACTTACTTGTCCAGGATGAAGTAGAGGTCGAAGCCCCCGTAGCAGGCGGCGCCCCCGTCCTCCCTCTGCCCGCCTCGCCCGTCACAGGTGAGCACCAGGGCGGCCAGGAAGAGCCACCGCGAGCCCCGCAGGAGAAGCTGCTGCTCCGCCAGAGCCATGGCCGAACGCAGGCGGAGAAGGTCCGGGACTCTGGGCTGGCCAAGCTCCCTTAGCGGAGGGCCATGCAGAGGCTCCCCGAGCCTCGAGCAGGGGGAAAAGTCCCGGGAAAAGAGGCGTCCAGCTTTCCCTTCTGCCGCCTTCAGCGACTCTCCTTTGGCCCTTTCGCTCCAAGCGCAGCGCAGCCAAGCCAGCCACTGGCTCTGCAAGGCGATTGGCAACTTCCGGACGCTTTCTCTCTCTCTCTCTCTCTCTTTCTTTCTTTCTTTTTTTTCTTTTTCCCCTTGGCTTTGCCTTGCCCCAGATTCGAGGAACGTGGAAGCCTCTCCGCCCCCTTCCCCGCCAAGGGAAGCTCGCTGCTTTGCCTGCGAGCGGAGATCTCAGGATGCCTCCTTGTGGCCGAGCGCACGCTGCGCTCCGACCATGCGCTCAGCGCCTTCGCCCAGCGGAGCTGCCCGCTTCTGTCCAGACTCCAGATCCAGGAGGCTCTCCGTAGGCTTGAGCGCGGGCCCCTCTCCTACATGGGGTTCATTAGTCAGAAAAATTAAGGTCCTGCCCCTAGAACTAAGGAGAACTTTCCCCACGCTTAGAAGACTTAATCAACGGAACGAGGTGCCTTCAGAAGTTGGAGGTGCTCCATCACTGGAGGCTTTCAAGAAGAGATTGGACAGCCCGTTTGTCCGGAATGGGATAGGGTCTCCTGCTTGAGCAGGGGGTCCGGCTAGAAGACCTCCGAAGTCCCTTTCAACTGTTAGCCTGTTTCTGTTTCAAATAAATGGGCTATTATTTACGCACTATGAAAAACCTGGATTTGTAAGCAACTCTAGGCAGTGTTTGTGGTGCATTTTATATGAACTGATTTTTTGAATAGAATAGAATAGAAAATATGAATAATGGAATGGAATGGAATGGAATGGAATGGAATGGAATGGAATAGAATAAAATATGGAATGGAATGGAATGGAATGAATGAATGGAATGGAATGGAATGGAATGGAATAGAATAGAATAAATAGAATAGAATAAATAGAATAGAATAGAATAGAATAGAATAGAATAGAATAGAATAGAATAGAATTCTTTATTGGCCAAATGTGATTGGACACACAAGGAATTTGTCTTTGGTGCATACGCTCTCAGTGTACATAAAAGGAAAAGATACATTCGTCAAGAGGAATATAATAGAATAGAATAGAATAGAATAGAATAGACTAGACTAGAATTTTTTATTGGCCAAGTGTGATTGGACACTCTCGGTGCATAAGCTCTCAATGTACATAAAAGAGTAGAGTAGAGTAGAGTAGAGTAGAGTAGAGTAGAGTAGAGTAGAGTAAGTAGAGTAGAATAGAATAAATAGAATAGAATAGAATAGAATAGAATAGAATAGAATATAGAATAGAATAGAATAGAAATAAAATAGAAATAGAAATAGAAATATAGATAATATTAATAGGAATAGAATAGGAATAGGAATAGGAATAGAATAGAATAGAATAGAATAGAATAGAATAGAATAGAATAGAATAGAATAGAATAGAATAGAATAGAATAGAATGAATAGAATAGAATAGAGTTCTTTATTGGCCAAGTGTGATTGGACACACAAGGAATTTGTCTTTGGTGCATAGGCTCTCAGTGTACATAAAAGAAAAGATACATTCGTCAAAAATCATAAAACGCAACACTTAATGATAGTCATAGGATACAAATAAGCAATTGAATCATACTAGGAAACAAACAGAACAATATAAATCATAAAAATACAAGCAACATGGTTACAGTCATAAGTGGGAGGAGATAGGTACTAGGAAGGATGAGAAGAATAATAGTAATGCAGACTTTGTAAATCATTTGACCAAAAAAAAAATCTGATATTCATTCAGTTCATTCAGACGTTCTCCTCGTGCTGAGCCAAAACGTGAAAAGTTCCCAGTTCCTGTTATTAAAACTCCAGGGATGAAACAGAGACTCAAGGAGAATTCCTCTGGAAAATGTCCACTAAATCGGGCCGAAGAGTGATTTGGCTGAGACAGAGAAGATTAGGAGTCTCAGTGGCCTCTTCTGGAAAAAGTGGCAAGCCCTTCAGAGTCTGAGCTGGCTTTTCACCCTAAATCATGATTTGCTTCCTTCTGATTTACTGAGTAAACCACAGTGTTGGTGTGGCACCTTAAGTTAAGATTGTGGTTGATTTAACTGCAATGGCCAGCTGCTGCTTATTACAATATGTCCCAATTTTCAGGATAACACTCCAAGCAGTTCCAAGCACTGTAAGCAACTGTACAATAAATAGGATTTTGAAAGCCTCAGAAGTGGCCTGGTTCCTACAGGACAGCGATGGTCTTTGGCACTCTCTCTACACACACAGCGAACTCATTCATGAAACAAACCGTGTTTTGACTTAGCATGATGTCTGAGCTTAAGGAGTTCATATCTGCTCCTTATAGGGGTGTCCATGGGGGAGGCTACCCTCTTCCAATGGAATAGAGTAGAGTAGAGTAGAGTAGAGTAGAGTAGAGTAGAGTAAGTAGAGTAGAGTAGAGTAGAGTAGAGTAGAGTAGAGTAGAGTAGAATAGAATAGAATAGAATAGAATAGAATAGGAGATAACTGATTGTAGAATAGAATAGAATAGAATAGAATAGAATAGAATAGAGTAGAGTAGTAGAGTAGAGTAGAATAGAATAGAATAGAATAGAATAGAATAGAATAGAATAGAAGATAACTGATTGTAGAATAGAATAGAATAGAGTAGAGTAGAGTAGAATAGAATAGAAGATAACTGATTGTAGAATAGAATAGAATAAATAGAGTAGAGTACAGTAGAGTAGAGTACAGTAGAGTAGAGTAGAGTAGAGTAGAGTAGAGTAGAGTAGAGTAAATAGGAGATAACTGATTGTAGAATAGAGTAGAATAGAGTAGAGTAGAGTAGAGTAGAATAGAATAGAATAGGAGATAACTGTAGAATAAAGTAGAGTAGAGTAGAGTAGAATAGAATAGGAGATAACTGTAGAATAGAATAGAATAGAGTAGAGTAGAGTAGAGTAGAGTAGAGTAGAGTAGAATAGAATAGAATAGAATAGAATAGAATAGAATAGAAGATAACTGATTGTAGAGTAGAGTGAGTAGAGTAGAGTAGAGTAGAGTAGAGTAGAGTAGAGTAGAATAGAGTAGAATAGAGTAGAATAGAGTAGAACAGAACAGAACAGAACAGAACAGAACAGAACATGTTCTAGTCCAGCCCCCTGCTCAAGCAGGAGAACCTATACCAGTGATGGCAAACCTTTTAGGGACTGAATGCCCAAACTGCAACCCAAAACCCACTTATTTATCACAAAGTGCCAACATGGCAATTTAACCTAAATAATGAAGTTTTGTGAGGAATTTCAATCACTCTTTCACAACTTGATTTCTCTCTGGTGGCACTGGTTTTCTAAGTGACTGTCTAGTCTGTTCTTAAAAACCTCCCATGTTGAAGCACCCACAACTTCTGGTGGCAAGCTGTTCCAGTGGTTAATTGTCCTCACTGTTAGGAAGTTTCTCCTTAATTCCAGGTTGCTTCTCTCCTTGGTTAGTTTCCAACCATTGTTTCTTGTCCTGCCTTCTTTGGTGTTTTGGGGAATAATTATTTGACCTTCTCTTCTACGGGGCAGCCCCTCAAATACTGAAATACCTCTATCATGTCACCCCTAGTCCTTCTTTTCTCTAGACTAGCCAGATCCAAAATTCACAGCTGTTCTTCATATATTTTAGTCTCCAAGCCTTTAATCATCTTAGTTGCTCTTCCCTGAACTTTTTCCAAAGTCTCAACTTCTTCTTTGTAGTAGACTCTGAGTGGTTTAGAAGAGACCACCACAAAAATCAAATTAAAATCAGTACACACTCGTGGAAGGTTGCTGCAATGGGGCCTCTCAAAAGAAGGACAGGGAAGGCCCGTGGCATTCGTTGCCTTCAACCAATGCTCAGGGCATGAGAAATACTCCATACTAAGAGACTCAGCTCTTAATTCAGAAATGCAAATAGATTTTAATAGGTAGAACCCAGATCTGGTTTCCCACGTTTGGAAAATAACGCTACAAGGATGCCCCTGGTTTGAAAGAAAATACAAGCAACAGAAAAATCACTCCGTATGGAAGAAGTAGTCATTTCTTCTTGGAAATCCAAATGAATGAAATTGGCAATGATTTAAGAAGCATCTGGGTTAAATTAAATTAAGTGGGGGTGGGGAGCGATGGTGTGTACTGTTGCCCACCCAACCAAAAAGAAGTTATGGACGATGCTTCCAAGAGCAAATTGCAGATCTTCCGAAGAGGCATGAAGTCATCGGGATGGAAGACTTTAATTACCCCAACATCTGTCGGGAAACAGCTCCGCCAAGCATGGTCCTTCCAGGAAATTCCTGACTTGCCCTGCTGATAACTTTCTCCTTCAGAGAATGGAAGGGAGGCATAAGAGGGTCAGCTTTCCTTGGCTGAATATTAACCAGTAGGAAAGACTTAGCTGAAGGAGTGAAAAGAGCAAGAACATGGAGAGAACATGATCACGGGGCGGATGGGGGGTGGAAGACTTGATTTTGAGGGAAACCAAACCTGGGCGTGACCAGCACAGAACTTGGACTTCAGAAAAGCAGATTTTAACATAGAGATTAATTGTAAGTAGGACCCTCTGGCTGAAAAGGGGGAAAGATGCTCAAGATGGGAAGACACAGACAACCAAAGGAGAACACCAGTAGTATCTAGAAAATCTAGGAACCGTACCAGAACTCAGAATGGCTGAGTCTTGCAAGAAAGAATTAAAAACTGTTAACTCAGAATATGAGTGGAATGTTAATTTATTCTTACATATTCATCATCATCTTCATTTAACGACCCCATAATCCCTTGCAGGGTGGCGTCTAAGCAACTGAATGGAGCTAGCAGAGTGTTTACTGGCCGGCTGCCCTTCCTGTCGCCAATGCGGAGTTTTTGTTCAGCAGATATACTCTCAGTGTGCCCAGAGAGAGAAATATCTGCCTCTACCTAGGATCGAACTCACAGCCTCCTGATTGTGAGGCGAGAGCTCCACCTCTAGGCCACTCACCACTCCTAAATTTATTCTTACATATTGTAGGAAGAAAAATCCGGTCCAGTTCCAAACCGGGAGAAAGGCACTGGGAATAAAATGGAGGCTGATTGGAAAGAAGGACTCTGTTTCTTGATAAACAGAACCAACCACAGCATGCAGTTCTGGGACAGCTGACAAATTAGCTTGATGAGTGCATTGAATTTTATAGGTTTCTGTGAATTTGAAGTTTGAACTGTTCTTGGGTTTGCAATGAAGGGGATTTTGTGTCTCTTGCTATTTGATTGGTGGTGGGTTAATCCTATGGAGAATCTCATTGTGGATCAATTTTTTAATGAATCTAATATGCACTTCTCTAGGTAGATTATGTCTATGTGCATAATTCGTGTGGATTCTATAAATTTCATCCATTTCATTAATCATTTCTTCCTTTCCAATTCCTAATGCTCCTGCCAATAGCTCCGCCATCATCTCCGGAAGGTCCTCATTCTTTTCTTCCCACACATTCTGAAATCGTAGAAAATGGGCAGCCTTATCTATTTCCAATTGGATTATTGTCTGTTCGAGATCTCTATTGGCTTGAATTAATCTTTCTTCCATCTCCTCCACTTTTTTTTCTTCCCTTCCCATTCTATCTTCCATCTCCTGTAATTTTTGTTCATTTTTTAGAATTTGTTGCTGGAAGCATTCAAATTTATCATCCATCAATCTCATCTTTTCTTTCATTTCTCCCGTGTCACTCCTTACTTCTCCTATCTCTCGTTTCAAATCCTCATGGTTCTTTAACATAACCTCCTGCATTGTTTGTTGCATCTGTTGTAGATCCTTAAATGAGTTTGATCTCTCTCTGCAAAATCCCCATTTCCTCCCAATCAGCTGGGACTTGGGAGACAGAGAACAGATGGGGGCGGGGCCAGTCAGAATTTTTACTACCGGTTCTCCAAACTACTCAAAATTTCCACTACCGGTTCTCCAGAACTGGTCAGAACCTGCTGAAACCCACCTCTGGTACATACCCTGCCCTTGCCATGTTCCTCCCTGCAGCCTCTCCATCAAGCTACCACCTGATCTATCTCAACAGCTGGAAAGTTGGAGAGTATGAAACGAGTGTAACAAATGGGGGTGACAAACCGAGACTTGACACAGGCTTGTGAGTTCAATGCATGTGTTTAATTGGCCACGTTCTCACTTTTCTGCCCTCTGAGGGGAGAAGGAAACAATGCAGGTAATAACCCCTGCAACGTATCCCAGGAGAGAGTTAGTCGTACATGGCTTCGTGGCAGTAAGAGATGTGGAGAATGAAGAGGATGTTCATCCGGAAACAGGATGATCCTTCCGAGAAGAAAAAGCTTGGCTCTGGAACGAAAGACATTGGGACAAATTGAATGACCCATTGGGATCCCCACATCAAAACAACTTACCTTATGCATGCCCAGAATCTGAAAATAACATTTAACCCAGCACAGGTACTTAAGCAAAATGGTTCAGTTGAGATCGGCATACGTAGGACTGATTGGGGTAGATTGTAGGGCTGTCACCGAGATATAATTTTATCATATTTTATCTATATCTTAAATTATTGTGTTTTATTCCAATTTCATTGTAAATCGTATTTTATTCCAATTTCATTTTAAATCGTATTTTATTCCAATTTCATTTTAAATCGTATTTTATCCAATTCCATTTTAGATTGCTTTTATCAAATTGCAGTAATAATTTGTTTCTGGAACTCTGCACTTTAATATGATGCAAGGGCAAATAAATAAACAAACAAACATTGGGACAAATTTGACAGCTTCACATGCCACATAGGCTGTGGTGGGATTCAGCCAGTTCGCATCTATTCGGGAGAACCGGTTCCCTTCTCCTCCTCCTCCCCTCCCCTCTTTCCCTTCCCTTCCTCCTCTTTCCTTTCTCCTTTCCTTTCTCCCCCCCCCCCACCTTCTTCTTGGATTCATAAAATTCTGCAAACGCTCCTTGGTTTATTCAAAGAAACCCAAAGCCAATACTTACTTTTAATTTCAAAAGCAAGATAGCTGGGGATCCCTTGGCAAAATGTTTCCACCTGTTTCCCATAGACGGACAGGTCTGAAATTTTCTTATGGGAAACGGTGAAGGAGATCTCCTTTGGGGCAGGTCCACTTCGAGGATTCTTCTAAAAGAGGAGAGAACAAGAGGGCCGTGTTTAAAGATGGATGCAATGAATGGCATGCACTAAAATGGGAAGAGGGATTTCATATCACTTTTTAGACTGGCTCATTAGCCATCTGGGCCACAGGGGGGAAAAATACTCTCTTATCAATATACAGAATAACAGAGTTGGAGGTCAAGCAGGAGACCGTATACAATTTGAGACAAATGGCTGCCTGTCTCTTCTTAAAAGCTGCTATTGATGGAGCACCCACAGCTTCTGAAGGCAAGTGGTAGAATTAAAGGTGCTGTGTTGTCGAGGGGCTTTTGACTCTCGACAGAAAGGATGCAAAAGGAGGGACAAAACGAAATGTGGATAACAAAAATGTTTTAAACATTATTTTAAATGTTTGAATAGAATTGTTGAATTATCCCGCCATGAGTTGTCCCGTGGCTCCTCTCTGTCCGCCGCAAATTGAAGATGTGGCTCTGTCATCAAAGGGGCTGATCCGTAGGGGTGATTTTAAATAATTTTAATCAATTTTTAATTGGATTTTTAATGTTTATGTAATTTTTGTTCTGTTCTTTGTAAGCCGCCCTGAGTCCTTCGAGAAAAGGGCAGCATATAAATTACATAAATAAATAAATAAATAAATAAATAAATAAATAAATAAATAGTTAGTTGGCCATGGTGAATTGGCCATGGTACCCTTTTGCTGGGCCCAGGTGGACCTTCCTCTCAGATCTCCCTATCTTTACCTGTTTTTCCCGGATGGTTTTGGGAAGAGTAGTTATGTCTGGCATGATCTGTTTATTCATTCTGACGATGAAGCAGGTTTTCTTGGACAATATCCGGGTTGCCATGAAACCCTATCAAAACAAAACAGGAGCCAAAAAAAATGAGAACGACGCCAAGAGAATCTGAGGCTGGGGAAGTTCCCTGAGCCTTCCCATTAGATCATAAGATCTCAGTTAGCAATAGCAATAGCACTTAAGACTTATATACCGCTTCACAGTGCTTTACAGCTCTCTCTAAGCGGTTTACAGAGTCAGCCTCTTGCCCCCAGCTATTTCGGGTCCTCATTTTACCGAGCTTGGAAGGATGGAAGGCTGAGTCAACCTTGAGCCCGGTGAGATTCGAACTGCCAAATCGCAGGCAGCTGGCAGGCAGCAGAATTAGTCTGCAGTACTGCATTCTAACCGCTGCGCCACCACGACTACATTAAGTCCACCATTATTTTTATTGGATGTGGCGAGACAATAAAGCTACAGGACTTCCAAACAACAGCAAATTATGCCTGGCTTTGACAAGGTGCACCATTCATGGAAAGAATGCCATTTCTTCACCCCCTAACTGAGAGTCCCTGAAGAGGCCACTGGTGTGACTTGATATAAAGCAAGAGAGAGGCTGTTTGGTATAGTGGTTAAAGGCTAGAAACCAGGAAATAGGGAATTCTAGTCCCACCTTAGCCACCAAGCGAATGGGTGACTTTGGGCCAGTCCTTCTCTCAGTCCAAATGACTTATTTAGAAAATAGGAAGTAAGAGCACTAGTTACATTCACTGCCTTGAATGGAACAAGAATATAAAGGTAGGGAGGGGAGAAAAACCAACTAAGGCAGTTCATTGCATCTTTAGAAGTAGGGGCCATTCTGGAGCCCACCAGCTTTGAAGGGAACTGAAGAAAAGCTGTGCAGAGGCTTACAGCACCTTCTGGAGAAGGAAGAGGGCAGGAGAGATTCATCTCAAGGTTGTCCCTTGGATGGAATGGAAGAGTGGAAAAGCGTAGGGCAGAGGTCTTCAAACTTGGCAGCTTTAAGATTTGTGGACTTCAACTCCTAGAATTCTCCAGCCAGCTGGAGAATTCTAGGAGTTGAAGTCCACAAGTCTTAAAGCTGCCAAGTTTGGGGACCCCTGGACTAGGGAGTTGCAGATGCTGGAGAAGATTGTGCAGTGGAGAAAAGCTCTCAACAACGTCGTGACTTCACAGCATGTAAGAACTTCACGCCCTCCAGGGCAAATTCCCTTTTGGATGCTAGTTGAGGTCAAGATAAGATTAAAAAAAAGTGTTTCTTACAGTGCCATAATCCAAGACGGAGCTCCAAGAATCCCAACCGTTGTTGTGGTCTACATTCACCACCTTCCTTTGGTGATCAATGTTGACAGATTGATGTGAAGTCCCTCCGACATTTCCCTGGTTGTTTTCAATGATGTTCTTGGGTAGGAAAGATAAAGGACAATAGTTGAAAATCTACCCTTATATTCATGAAAATTAAAATATAAGATGGGATGTGCTCCAATAGATAACAGAAAGAGATATGGCTACAAATGTGCTAAACAAAAAAATCCAGACTTTGGAAGAATATTGCTTAGCGCCTCAAAACTCTGGTTTATCCTTTCTCTCATTTCCAATTGGGTGAACTAATTTGTGGAAAAGCGCATCTTTGAAAGCATTATTTTTACTTCTCTTAATCCTGCTTTTCAGCTTAGAAATCTTCAAAGGGGCTTTGCCAAGTGTGGCAACAGTGGGAAAAACGCAAAAACAAGCCACTTCAGCCAAAACTTTGAATGTCTAATTGCAAGAATTAAACGGACGCGCCAGATAATTTTAACTTTTAACTTCATAAAAAGCAAAAACAAAAATAAAAATTGAATTGCTTTTGTTAGAAAGAAAACAGATGTGTTTGCAATAATGCTATACAATGGTACTTACGGTCAAAACTGGGGCTAGGAAAACTCCTAGAAACACCGCACTCAGAATCTGGAATGGAGGTCAAAAACAAATTGGCAATTAGAGAGAAAAATGGTGGGGGGGATGATAATTAGCTGATAGAGGATAGACAGACAGACAGACAGACAGACAGACAGACAGATAGATATAGATATTTAGAAATGGAAACAGCAAATTTCAAATTTAAAAAATCATGCTGCCTCGTTCACTTTGCACCCTGATGTGCTGTGTCAAATCTCTCTACGAATACAAAGCTTGAAGTTCAGGAACATATGTAGATATGCCTAGTTTATTATTCAAGCAGCATTTTTAGAGATTCTTCTAATATTTTAAAACCCAAAAAGATCAATGGCTATGTTTTCCTGCAATCAGATTCACCAGCTCACAATCTCATAGATCCCCTCTTGGCTCTCCCAAGACAATTGGTGTGTCATTTTCAGGAGAAGCATTCTGGGCCACCTGAGATTTAGCATAAGAACATCATGCGCAAAAGTGTGCAAGGGACAATAAGCATGGAAGAGGCAAGGCTTTTGGGCTGATTTATGGCCTCTAATCCATGATTTTCAACTCGTCCTGATTCCCACTTAGAACTATCCCTCCTTCCGTGAAAAGATTAACCAACTCTCTTCATGAATTAAGAGTCCTCTGCAAAACCAGATTTCCCCCCTTATTTTTCTACCTGTAAGTGGGATACAGTTTTGACTACAGATTAGGTGAGATGGACTTTGCTATTACCCTAGAAGATTTCAAGATCAAGCAACAGCACACAGAATAACAGGTTATTGGGGGTCTTCTGGTTTAACCCCCTGCTTGTCCAATCTCTTCTTAAAAACCTCCAGTGAATGGAGCCCCCACAACTTCTGAAGGCAACTTCTGTTCCACTAATTGTTCTCATAGGAAATTTCTCCTTCCTTCTAGCTTGGATCTCTCTTTAATAAGCTTCCACCTGTTACCTCTTATCCTGCCCTCAGGTGCTTTGGAGAATAAATTAACCCCCTCCTGTCTGTGGCAGCCTCTCAAATATTGAAAGACTCCTTTCACATTACCTTAGTAAATGGTAAGGCAGCAGAAAATGAAAAATATCTATACTTACAACCGTCTTCATTTTGGCACTAGAAGAAATACAAGACTAGCAAAGCTGAACCCTACCACTTTATATACCAGATTTGCCAGGACTGAGATATAGCATATTATCTCGTTGCAATCTGTGTGCCCCTTGGCCAGCACAAGATACGGTTGCCAATGGAAGAGGGTGACACCTTACAGATAAGCAGAGGCAGATAAACATATCTTCAATAAACATGGGCAGGGTCTGTCATTTTAAAAATGTCCAATTAATTAAACCTAAATCTAATCCCAGAAAATAAACATATTTTTTTAAAAGTAAGAGTGGACATAAAAACGGATTTATTTCCCCATGGCGTTTGAAAATAGGACCAGCATCAGTAGGTAGAAGAAAGAAAGAGAAGAAAAAGATATGTATTTTATTATGTTTTATTTTACCTACTGGTCAAATTTAAAATAGTAGGATACGTATACTGTATTATTTTTATATGGGTAATTAAGTATTGCCTTAAATCTAGAGCAGTGGTCTCCAAACTTGGCAACTTTAAGACTTGTGGACTTCAATTCCCAGAGTTCCTCAGCCAGCAAAGCTGATCTAGAGTGAAGAGTTATTTTTATAGTCACTCTTTTTATATATTTTATTATATTTTATATATTTGTTTTATGCATTTTTGTTACCTTTTAAACTTTCCCCTTTTTTCACCTCCCATTTGTGTTATTTGATATTTTATCAGGCATTTTTTGAAACCCAATAAATGATTTGAGACCAAAGAAGGGATCAAACTTAAAATAAGAAGGAATTTGGTATTCCCTTGCTGGCTAGGGAATTCTGGGAGTTGAAGTCCACACATCTTAAGAAACACTGTATTACACAATGGGATACTTGCCATAACCTGAGAATTATGGGGTCCTCCGTCAATGCAGGTTTTCAAGGAAAATTTGGATAGCTTTTTGACTGGGATGGCTGGAGAACAGGGGTTAGATTAGATGATCTCCAAGAGATCTTATAGATTCTAAGATTCCAAAATCAGCCATTCTACCTTACTTAAACATCCATTTGAAATGTAGCGGAAAGTCTTTTGTTAATGGAAAAAAAACCCCAGTTCTAAAGAAGATGTGTTTGAAGAGGTAAGTCAGAGGGGTATTCTGAATGTCCCTTCAAAACTAGAGTTGGCAACCTGTAGCCAATTAGCCAGATGCTGCCCAAATGTGTTGCTTAGCTTTTCCTGGTGGTTTGGAAGGAAATGCCAAAGGAAATTCCAGCAGGAACTTCTGGAAGGAAATTCCAGATTCAATTTCCTTGAGTCAGGGACACGAGTGCAAAAGTGGATGGGAGCATATAAGACGTGTTTATCCTATTAAATATTACAGATTTCACCTTTTAACTATTTAACCATTTGTGTTTTAAACTTTTGGGGTTTAAACTCACATCTGAGTTTCAGAGGAGCCTGAGTGGCGTAGGAGGCTAATGCCTCCTACTAAGGCAGCATTTAACATCCAGCTGCCTGCAATTACTACGAGTTCAATTCTCACCAGGCTCAAGGTCGACTCAGCCTTCCATCCTTTCTAAGGTGGGTAAAATGAGGACCCGGGTTTGTGGGGGCAATAAGCTGACTTTGTATAAAATATACAAAAGTATGAAGGCTATTGCTTAACGCATTGTAAGCCGCCCTGAGTCTCCGGAGAAGGGTGGCATATAAAAATAAATAAATAAAAAATAAAATAATAAATAAAAATAGATAAATGAAGCCTTAGAACTGACATTGAAGGGTTAAAGAGCTTCTGCCTTCCAGGATCAACTATCAACAGTAAAGGGAACAAGAAGTCAAGAAATACCTTACAGACAAGGGCTTGGAAAACCACGAAGGCCTTGGAAAAGATAGTCAGATGCCAGGATGTGAACTTTGGTGTTGGAAAAGATTCCTGAGAAGACCATGGACATCCAAGAAAACAAACTGATGGATCATTGAACAAATCAATCCAGAGTTCTCACTTGAGACATGGATGGCCAAGCTCACATTATCCTACGCTGGACACATTATGTGAGGATGTCCAGCAGCAAGTGGGATGGACTCAGCTACCATGATGCTGGGGCACCACTGGAAGAGCTGCAGGCAGTGGTGGGTTGCCCCGGTTCGGACCGGTTTGCAAGAACTGGTAGTAAAACCGGCGGGAGGCCCTGCCCACTGTCCCGGCGATCTGCGCATGTGCGATCCCATTGCGAACTGGTAGTAAAGATCAGTAGAACTCACCCCTGGCTTCAGGACTAACTTGGGGAGAGGTAATCATGGAGAAACTCTATCTATGGGGTCAACAATGACTCAAAGGACATAATCGATCCTATGAGCAGAACTATCCCCAGCTATCATCTCATCACATACCTTCCCATAATTTTTAACCATGTGCGATATAAAAGCTTAATGGTGCCATTCACACAGCTTGGGTTAGTATTAACTCTGGTTTGATTTCGAGGGTTTTTTTAGATTTTTGTGACAGTCCAACCCAGGCTTGCGTAAATGATTGGAATGGGTCAATAATAATAACAACTTTATTGTCATTGTATGTGTATACAGAGTATACCCATACAATGAAATTTACTTAACACCCAAAGACCAGGTCCAACACACATAACAATCCCCAAACACACTCCCACCCACCACAATTACCACCCCTAAACCACCCAAACATCCACACAACAGACCAAGTAATGCTGTCCAACAGCTCACTGATGGTGGCCCTTGAATTCATGGTTGAGTGCCATTATAGCTCTGGGATAAAAACTATTCAGAAAACGTGTGGTCCGAGTTTGAATTGTTCTGTATCTTCTGCCAGAAGACAACAGTCCAAAAAGATTGTAAGCAGGATGGGAAGAGTCTCTGAGAGTGTTATGCAACTTCCTCAAACAGCGAGATTCAAAGATGTCGTCCAGGGCTGGTAGCTGGAGCCCGATGATATTTTGGGCAGTTTTAATGATTCTTTGTAGAGCTTTTTTGTCCGCTACAGAGCTGCTCCCATACCATGCAAGAATGCCATATGTCAGGACACTCTCAATGGTGCTGCGATAATAGGACAGAAGTAGATGCTGAGATAGATTTATTTTCCTGAGTACTGTACGTAGTTAAGTATATTGTGTGAGAGGAGCCACAGACATTCCTAGATTTCATATGCAGAGTAGAAGGGTCAGTGAGGTTGAGAGAGGCCATGGGAATGGTGTGGTGGGCTTCTTAGCAATGAGTAGCAGAACCTGAGGGTTCTGTGGGGGCCTCACCTGATTCCTGGTAGCCTGTCTAGAACATTGATCCATCCTTGCCCCTCTTTAGGGATACCCCAAAAGTCCTTACTTTCCCCTCTTTTCTTACTTACCCTTGACCCCATTTATGCTGCTAGGAGGAAGACAGGCTGACCACTTTTCTGATATTAAATATATACCCAAATCATCTGGGAGAGGTTAATTGATGTTTGCAAAAGGACAAATGTGAAATCAAGCACCCATGACTAATGTGCTCAGAAATATCAGGGGTTGGGTATCCGTTCAGCCCAAAATTCAGATAAAACTATTTACCAGGGCGTGTCCTACAGATACGAGACACAAGTGCCCAGGGCAGGTTTCTGTCCAATGTTCCACACACCTACAGTCCAGATATAAATATTCAATGTTTCTGGAATTTTATTCCACTTGCGTCTCTGTTGCTACCCCTTACCTGGAAGAAAAATGAACAGGCTTGTGAGTATATTTGACACATTCTTCTTCAGAAAAGCTGGAAAATATCTAGGGACCAATGTGGATTGTCTAGGTAAGGAAGACTGCTCTTAAGGAAATGAAAGAGCCTGACTAAGTGGCTCAGTGGCTAAGACACTGAGCTTGTTGTTCAGAACGGTTGGCAGTTCGGCAGTTCGAATCCCTAGTACCAGTTTCCTGCTTGAGCAGGGGGTTGGACTAGATGGCCTCCAAAGTCCCTTCCAACTTTGTTACTGTTATATTGTGCATGCTCACCATGTGATGGTTGGTTAGTTTGGGGAGCACGTTTTGGCAAAATATCTCTGCAAGCCTTAGCACTTGACCAGCTGTACTCAGCAGTAGGAGGCATTTTGATGGGCAACATTTAGATAATGTTCAAATGGCCCTTGGAAGTTTCCACATTAGTAACAGCCAAACTTCTTTGGTTTCTGAAACACCAAATGACTACGAACTGGTCTTGCCAACAAGCTAGAACATAGAATGTAGAATAAGGTTGGAAGGGACTTCCTACCTCCTGCTAATCAGATGCATCTTTTGCTCAAATTCCATTCTTACGCTTTGCATTGACACTTGTGTAGGGAAGTATTTGGCCACAGATAGGCTGTTTTGAGTGAATCCGTTGTGCAATAGGGGCATGTTTTGAATCAGAGCTCAGGATGGCTTTCCTGCGTACACACAAAAGGTTCTGCATTCAATCCTTGCAATCTCCAGCCAGTTCCCGTGTAGAAAGCCACAAGACATCAGCAATATGGACCAAAAGAAGGAGAATTGTGCCCCAGATACGCTGGTAGCAAATGTTGGAAAAGTGTGGTCTTGCAAAATTGAGTTCTGTGGAAGATTGCAAAACAGGCTAGCTTGAAGTTAAATTCTTCGGGCATTCCTGCATGGGCATGGACTTCATCATTCAGATGGGATTGCTCTCCTCTGACCATTGATGGCCCTCTTATTTCTTTCTTTTTCAGGCAGCAACATTAATTTTGCTGGGATTCCTCTGGAATGCAGCCTCTGCTTCCTTCCAGGTAATCATCTCTGCTTTTCTACGAACAAAAAAATTCAAAGATGGAACCAAGATAATTTTTTTTTCTCCTGTAAAGTCATGCAGATGTTCAGTACATAACCAACTATGATGCTTTAAAACAGGGACGGGTACACAAGCTAGATCTATTTCTTTAGAGCACCGAGATCCGAAAATTGATGGCAAATCACTTATTTCAATGGCATTCTTCTCAGAATGCCAGGCTCAAAATACCTGCATTTAGCTTGTAGATTTAATGTATTGATTTGGAAAGGGGTTATTTTTTTAAAAAAAAATGGCCTGAACATTTCTCCTCTGCAATCCTTGAAGACATCCAGTCCCAAAGACTGGAGGTAAACATGAGCTAATAATAAATTCACTTTTTTGAGTAGTGCATTGCACGATGTTTTTTTTTTATTGAAAAGTTTTACAGAAAAAAAGATTTTCCCTCCCAATACTCCCCCACCCTTTTTCCCTCCCCCCACCCCCCACCCCTTCCCCGCATCCCCCCCTTTCCCCCCAGACTTCCCAGAACAAAATACAGGGTATTTCAGTTAACAATCATAAGCTAAATTAACCTATCTATTCTTAGACTACAAAATCCCCCCCTGAAACCTTAACTCCACTATAAATAACATAATACTTCTAAAACTTAACATTCATTCATAAGCTATTTGATATTTTCTTGTCTGATACTTATTTTGAATATAATCAATCCATCTTCTCCATTCCGATACGTATCTTTCTTGTGTATAGTCCTTCAAATACGCTGAAATTTTCGCCATTTCTGCTAAATTCGTTACTTTCAGTGTCCACTCTTCAATAGTAGGCAAAGAGTCCTTCTTCCAATATTGCGCTACCAACAGCCTAGCTGCTGATATTAAATTTAAAATCATTTAAATCATTTAAAGTCTCTAATGCTGTACAATCCGTAATTATACCCAATAAAAACAATTGCGGAGTAAATTTCAACCTTTTTTTCAAGATGTTCTGCATCACCCACCAAATTTTTATCCAAAATGCTTTGATTTTCTTACAAGTCCACCATATATGATAATAAGTTGCATCGTCACATTCACATCTCCAACATTTACATTGCACAATATTTTTAATAAATATTACCATTCCTTCTGGATTCTACGTCTCTCATAGCTGTTTTCATGCAGAGAAGCAGAGAAATACCAGTAATGAACAAATCAAATGTGTGAATGAATGATTAATCTTTCTGTTCTGTGAAAGAGAACACATTCTTCTTAGCAGCAGAAAAACCTGTAAAGGTTTCCAAAACAAGTCCTGAAACTTGGGGAATAAAGAAGATTTATTACCCGTCACATAAGCTAAGTAGCAGTATATTTTACCCATTAATACCTTGGTTTTATTTAGCATATGCTTGTTTGTTTGGTTGATGGTTTGATATTTTGATCAATGGCCATCAGCCGGTCCCATCTTATCTAAATCCAGAACCACACGTCTCTCGGATTCTGCATTTCACTTCAGATGACAAGTAAATTCTCTCCTGTTCAGGTTTACAGCATCCCTAGCATGGATGGTGATTACATCCAGCAGACAGTTACCATCGACAACGAGGGGAAAATAGTCATCATCCACATCCACGAGGGATCTTGCTCTTCGGATACAATTTTTGACTATAAGCATGTAAGTGTGAATCCGGTCCTTTCCTCACTCACCTTGTCAGTGCAAGAATACTGAGGCCATGCTGAGCTGGGGTTGCTCTTCTATGTAGCTCCACTTCTAACAAAAGGCATCGGTTCGTTTTCACTCATCATCCTGCCTTAAGCTCAGGCCCTCGAGAATTCACGAATCAAGATCACGTGAAGTGTTAATACCACTTTATAAGGCCTTGGTAAGGCCACACTTGGAATGCTCCATTCAGTTTTGGTCGCCACAATGTAAAAAAGATGTGGAGATTTTGGGGAAGAGTGCAGAGAAGAGCAACAAAGATGATTAGGGGACTGGAGGCTAAAACATACGAAGAACGGTTGTAGGAACTGGGTATGTCTAGTTTGATGAAAAGAAGGACTGGGGGAGACATGATAGCAGTCTTCCAGTATCTCAGGGGCTGCCACAAAGAAGAGGGAGTCAAGCTATTCTCCAGAGCACCTGAGGGTAGAACAAGAAGCAATGGGTGGAAACTCATCAAGGAGAGAAACAACCTAGAACTAAGGAGAAATTTCCTGACAGTGAGAACAATTAATAAGTTGAACAACTTGCCTCCAGAAGTTGTGAATGCTTCAACACTGGAAGTTTTTAAGATGTTGGATAACCATTTGTCTGAAGTGGTGTAGGGTTTCCTGCCTGGGAAGGGGGTTGGACTAGAAGACCTCCAAGGTCCCTTCCAACTCTGTTATTCTATTCTATTCTATTCTATTCTATTCTATTCTATTCTATTCTATTCTATTCTATTCTATTCTATTCTATTCTATTCTATGTCTTGGAACTGCTAGTCCCAAAATTCCTGTTCAGAACAGGCAATGGACCCAGAGGACGGGAATTCTGGGATATGCAGGCACCACCGTTTTGGAGGGACCCAAGCTGTAAAACCGATAGGCAGAATTTTAGTTGAACGTCCCTCCATGACCCTTTTGCACATTTTAAATTTGAATATCCAACGATTATTAATGGAACCTATCTGTTATTCCTTTCCCTCTGGCATAACAGGGGTACATCGCCATGCGGATCTTCTCCCGAAAGGCTTGCTTCGTGATGAAGATGGAAAAAGGCTACATTCCAGAGATTAAAGAAATTGGGCGGTTGGCTTATGAGAGACAGGTAAATGTTGGGTTCTTTACTGGGAGAGATCGTGGAAGGCTGGAAAAGGGAAGGAAGAGACAATGGACAATTGAGATACAGAAAGGGAGTCAGTTGGCAGCCCAACTCGGTCAAAATTTTCTCTGATCAGATTCTCTGACCAGTGTAATCACTATAGTTTTGTTCCAATGACCGGGACTATGATAATGATAGACGCCCAAATTCTACCGTTAAGTTTGAGAGAGTTAGCCATGCGGTCCCCAGGGGCCAACCTCAATTTCAGGAGACCTGCCTATCTCTTCCACGGTGGAATGTTCTTGGCTCTCTTGTTGTTTGGGCACACACAAAGACCTTCACAACAGCCCGGATCCTCCAGTGTTGTGTGGTTTTTACAGCGAGAAATTGTGGGAGGCTGGAAAAGGAATGCAAGGGAGAGTAGGCAGAAACAGCCAAGAGGCAGAAGGAGAATCTGTGGGGCAGCTGGTCTCATAAGTGGCAACTCTGCAACCATCTGCAAGAAACACAGGAAGCATCATTTCCCATTACTGGAAGAGGCACAGCTCAATAAAGAGGATGTTCGAAATTCCTTTTACCAGTTCCAAGATTTTGGAAGTTTTTACTCCAAGATCTCAAGAGACTTGAAACACTTTAAGGCTTAACACGTTTATATGGCAGGAGCCAACCTTCTCCAGCATGGTGCTTCCCAGTTGTGTGGAGGTCACAATATTGAAAAACTACCTTCCCCAGATATAGAATAGAATAGAATAGAATAGAATAGAATAGAATAGAATAGAATTAGAATAGAATAGAATAGAATTTTTGATTGGCCAAGTGTGATTGGACACACAAGGAATTTGTCTTGGTGCATATGCTCTCAGTGTACATATGTACATATGGGGCAAGACTCACACTTGGAAACCTAGTTCCTAATATTTACTGCAACAGCCTAATTTGTCAGCTGCCCTTTGAACCTTGTTTTCAATCAACATCTTGTTTCAGATGATGGGACGAATGTTGTCAGGAAGAAACCTGTGGGTGAAATACGAACCTGCAAATTCTTTCTTCGGAGAAATCAAAGAGTGGTTCATTTTTGGAAAACCCATCGAGCATCTCTGCAGGCACATACCTGTTTATAAAGTAAAAAGAGCTGGATGTGAGTATCCTAGGAGGAAGCCAACACGGCTTCCTTTTTAACTGAACAACAATTCCATGAACCTGAAGGTACGGTAGAAAGGCAAATTAAGGTCCACTCAATCTGGCATCATATTTTGAAAATAAAACCACATAGCCCCCAGGATCAATTTTAAGAACCATTAGAGCACAATATTTAGTATTTTAAAGTCTCTCTAAGACTTTAATAGTGTCCTCACTGTGCTGGGAGCAAGACCTTTTGAATTAAATGGCGTTTATATTCATGTAAAATTGTCCTATACTCATCTCTGCCTTATTCTTAAGGAAGCATTCTGATTTAGTTTGGAGAGAGGTTGTTCAGATCAGCAAAATACGTCAACGAACCTAGCAAACTACATAACCCTGGATGGTAGGGACACACTGGATGGCCCTGCAAAAAGATACAAGGATATTTCCTAAAAGAGCAGAGGTGTTTCCACCACCCACAGTTGCTGAACTACAGCTCACATACCTGGGTCAAATATAAATGCATAGAAAGAGGCAACATGACGCTCTCTCCCTCTGTCCCTTCTCTTCCCTACTGATTTCTTTTTCTTGTTTCCCATGTAGATGAAGTACATACCAGTAGTTGCGTTAAGGCTGGCATCTTAAATATTTTGGGTATTTCCATTTGTGGAAATACCAACCGGAGTCCCTGAAGATGCCCTGCACCAGTTTCAATTCAACGAACAAGATTCTTCCACCTCTGAAGATATTCCTAGTTGTTTAAGCATTTTAGGCCTTTTGTGCTTTCCTTAAATTTGGTCTTATAACCCAACCTACGAACTTCTAATAAAGAGCAATTTTTGAGCGTCCTTGGTTCCTTATTTTTTTTTTTAAAAAAACCCCTTCCTTTGGATATGAAAGAAAATAACGTATTAATGTGCAGGAAGCCTGTTGGGGGTAAAACTATCCTCTGCAAAATGGTGCAACGGACCAAAGAGCGAATAGATACGTTGCTTAGCAAAACACACAGATACTCACAGACTCTGAATGTTTAAAGAAAAATAAACAGTCTTTACTTGTAGTAAAAGAAACTTGGCTTTTCAAAACAAAGATAACACTTCTTCAAATAATCACGGTTCAACACAAAAACATAGTTTGCTTACAATTCCAGTTCTCTTCAGTAACACAGACACAGTTCCTTTCAGCAGTTCAACTTTCTAATAGCAGGAGCAGAAGTGAATGAACTTCCTGCCTTCTTTTATGTCTGCTTAGCATAGCCAATTAGTCGTCTTTGTAGCAGTTATTTATTATTTATTTATTTATTAATCAAATTTCTATACCGCCCTACTCCTGAAGGACTCAGGGCGGTGAACAGCCAAGATAAAATACAGATAATACAAATATTAAAAATCCCTTAAAATTATTAAATATTTTGGCCGAAACACAGATTAAAACACCCAATTTATAAAATCACGAATTAAAAAATTTAAAAGAGGAGAGTTAGGTCAGTTAAAGTTACAGAACATAGTTTTCTATATATTATCTACCCAACCGTAGGATAAGCATCCAACAAAGCCTTGGCTGGTTTGATCACAAACTACAGACTAAACCTTAAGTAACAAAGTTCTCACAATGTGCTAAGCCACAAATGATGGTTTATAAACTTCAAACTGTATCAGATAGGTTTACGTCACACCGCACTAAACCACAAATAAGGAAAAAGTATTATTGATTACGGGTAAAACATATAAAGAATGGTTGCTAGAATGGGTTATGTCTAGTTTAATGAAAAGGAGGATTAGGGGAGACATGATAGTAGTCTTCCAGTATCTCAGGGGCTGCCCCAAAGAAGAGGGAGTCAAGCTATTCTCCAAAGCACGTGAAGGCAGGACAAGAGGCAAGGTGGAAGGTGGAAACCAATCAAGAAGAGAAGCAACCTGGAATTAAGGAGAAATTTCTGACAGTGAGAACAATTAATCAGTGGAACAACTTGCTTCCAGAAGTTGTAAATGTTCCAATACTGGAAGTTTTTAAGAAGAGATTGGATGGCCATTTGTCTGGAATGGTATAATGTCGGGGTTGGATTAGAAGACCTCCAAGGTCCCTTCCAAGGGACCTTCTGATAGAATAGAATAGAATAGAATAGAATAGAATAGAATAGAATAGAATTTTTGATTGGCCAAGTGTGATTGGACACACAAGGAATTTGTCTTGATGCATACGCTCTCGGAGTACATATGTACATATGGGGCAAGACTCACACTTGGTTCCTAATATTTCCTAATATTTACTGCAACAGCCTAATTTGTCAGCTGCCCTTTGAACCTTGTTTTCAATCAACATCTTGTTTCAGATGATGGGTCGAATGTTGTCAGGAAGAAACCTGTGGGTGAAATACGAACCTGCAAATTCTTTCTTCGGAGAAATCAAAGAGTGGTTCATTTTTGGAAAACCCATCGAGCATCTCTGCAGGCACATACCTGTTTATAAAGTAAAAAGAGCTGGATGTGAGTATCCTAGGAGGAAGCCAACACGGCTTCCTTTTTAACTGAACAACAATTCCATGAACCTGAAGGTACGGTAGAAAGGCAAATTAAGGTCCACTCAATCTGGCATCATATTTTGAAAATAAAACCACATAGCCCCCAGGATCAATTTTAAGAACCATTAGAGCACAATATTTAGTATTTTAAAGTCTCTCTAAGACTTTAATAGTGTCCTCACTGTGCTGGGACCAAGACCTTTTGAATTAAATGGCGTTTATATTCATGTAAAATTGTCCTATACTCATCTCTGCCTTATTCTTAAGGAAGCATTCTGATTTAGTTTGGAGAGAGGTTGTTCAGATCAGCAAAATATGTCAACGAACCTAGCAAACTACATAACCCTGGATGGTAGGGACACACTGGATGGCCCTGCAAAAAGATACAAGGATATTTCCTAAAGAGCAGAGGTGTTTCCACCACCCACAGTTGCTGAACTACAGCTCACATACCTGGGTCAAATATAAATGCATAGAAAGAGGCAACATGACGCTCTCTCCCTCTCTCTCTCCCTCTGTCCCTTCTCTTCCCTACTGATTTCTTTTTCTTGTTTCCCATGTAGATGAAGTACATACCAGTAGTTGCGTTAAGGCTGGCATCTTAAATATTTTGGGTATTTCCATTTGTGGAAATACCAACCGGAGTCCCTGAAGATGCCCTGCACCAGTTTCAATTCAACGAACAAGATTCTTCCACCTCTGAAGATATTCCTAGTTGTTTAAGCATTTTAGGCCTTTTGTGCTTTCCTTAAATTTGGTTTTATAACCCAACCTACGAACTTCTAATAAAGAGCAATTTTTGAGCGTCCTTGGTTCCTTATTTTTTTTTTAAAAAAAACCCCTTCCTTTGGATATGAAAGAAAATAACGTATTAATGTGCAGGAAGCCTGTTGGGGGTAAAACTATCCTCTGCAAAATGGTGCAACGGACCAAACAGCGAATAGATACGTTGCTTAGCAAAACACACAGATACTCACAGACTCTGAATGTTTAAAGAAAAATAAACAGTCTTTACTTGTAGTAAAAGAAACTTGGCTTTTCAAAACAAAGATAACACTTCTTCAAATAATCACGGTTCAACACAAAAACATAGTTTGCTTACAATTCCAGTTCTCTTCAGTAACACAGACACAGTTCCTTTCAGCAGTTCAACCTTCTAATAGCAGGAGCAGAAGTGAATGAACTTCCTGCCTTCTTTTATGTCTGCTTAGCACAGACAATTAGTCGTCTTTGTAGCAGTTATTTATTATTTATTTATTTATTAATCAAATTTCTATACCGCCCTACTCCCGAAGGACTCAGGGCGGTGAACAGCCAAGATAAAATACAGATAATACAAATATTAAAAATCCCTTAAAATTATTAAATATTTTGGCCGAAACACAGATTAAAACACCCAATTTATAAAATCACGAATTAAAAAATTTAAAAGAGGAGAGTTAGGTCAGTTAAAGTTACAGAACATAGTTTTCTATATATTATCTACCCAACCGTAGGATAAGCATCCAACAAAGCCTTGGCTGTTTTGATCACAAACTACTGACTAAACCTTAAGTAACAAAGTTCTCACAATGTGCTAAGCCACAAATGATGGTTTATAAACTTCAAACTGTATCAGATAGGTTTACGTCACACCGCACTAAACCACAAATAAGGAAAAAGTATTATTGATTAAGGGTAAAACATATAAAGAATGGTTGCTAGAATGGGTTATGTCTAGTTTAATGAAAAGAAGGACTAGGGGAGACATGATAGCAGTCTTCCAATATCTCAGGGGCTGCCCCAAAGAAGAGGGAGCCAAGCTATTCTCCAAAGCACCTGAAGGCAGGACAAGAAGCAAGGTGGAAGGTGGAAACCAATCAAGAAGAGAAATTCCAGTTTTTTGGAATAGTTATGCAAAGTAAAGAAAGTGTTCAAATAAAAATACAACTCAAAAGTCTATCAAAAGTTCTAAATTCCCGACAATGGGATTTCTATTCCCCCTCTGAGTCTGAGTTCAGTAAAAATAGGTGTCCGATGCTTGTATTTAGTGTCCATTTGGCTTCAACAGGATATTTTTTGGAATCCTGGGACCTGTTGCTCTGCCTCATGTATCTGCAGACCCATGGAAGTTGGGTGCCTTGAAAGCTTCACCGGATCCAGGATTTTCCCCGTGGATCCTTCTGGCCACAAAGCACGAGCCGACTGAGAGACCTGGGGGTCAAAAAGCAATTCTCAGCAACGGCCCCTTTTCTCCTGGGCTGGATGTAGCCTCCTGACCCACTCGCTTCGGGGCCTGGGAGTGCTTTTTTTGCCCCTTTGTTTACAATTGAAGGGAAGCAGGAGAGTATGCTTCCCTTTCCACCCTTCCTTGCTGCACCCTACTACACCTTCTGAGTAGTAACAGACCTCGGTCAGGAGCTGGTCAGGTACGCCCAGTCAGTCTGGACTCATCTGCCAGACTGAAAATGGACGATTGGTTCTCCAGGTTCTCTCTTGAAGAACCAGGAACCATCCTGGAAGGCTGCGTCTTAACCCACTGCTTTCCAATTATTATTATTATTATATTATTATAAACACTCACCTTGCTAAAAAGGTTGGCTGGTCAACCTGCAAATGGGTGCCACTGAGCTAACTGATGGCATAAGGAATGGACGTCATCTGTGAGACATACATACAGAAGATCTTTATTCGTTCATCTCATTAGAGCCGTGGTGGCACAGTGGTTAGAGTGCGGTACTGCAGGCTACTTCTGCTGACTGCCGGCTGACTGCAATTTGTCAGTTCGAATCTCTCCAGGCTCAAGGTTGACTCAGCCTTCCATCCTTCCAAGTTTGGTAAAATGAGGACCCAGATTGTTGAGGGCAATAGGCTGACTCTGTAAACCACTTAGAGAGGGCTGTGTAAAGCGGTATATAAGTCTAAGGACTATTGTTATTGCTATCTCTGCATCAGCCCTGCTATGTTTATTAGGTAGTCATGGCATGGCTGTCTTATTTCCTGTCCTGTTCCCCCACCCCCCCTCACCCAATGAAACAAAAGGGCTGGAAATCTCTTACCTCGGACAGCCAATGTTTGACACCGTCCAAGATGAAATGGTTGCCAGTCAGCTAGCCAGTGGCACAGTTCATTCATTTCATCTGAAAGACAAAAGAAACAAGGCCATTAGTCATTCTTAATATATTATGTTACTGTGTTATGATTGCTGGAAAACACTCACTTTCAAAGAGAGAAGATGGTCCATGTCCCTCATTAAAGGGGTGCCATCCTGCCAGCTGCTTGGACAGTTTGTCTATGTCCTCTGTAAGACACAATAGACAGCAAGTCCATTAGTCATTCATCTCTGGAACAGTGCCAAGATAATAATATCTTTATCCTGGGTTAATCTTACCTTTGGGCTTCCTAAAAGAGTATGGCTGCCACCCAGCTAGCAGGACACACAAGTTGTCTACATCTGTAAGAGACACAACAAAAAAAGAGCCTGATGGCGCAGCAGACTAATAGCCTGTTGTTAACATTCAGCTGCCTGCAATTACTGCAAGTTCGAATCTCCCCAGGCTCAAGGTTGACTCAGCCTTCCATCCTTTCTAAGGTAGGTAAAATGAGGACCCGGTTTGTGGGGGCAATAAGCTGACTCTGTATAAATATACAAAAGTATGAAGGCTATTGCTTAACGCATTGTAAACCGCCCTGAGTCTCCGGAGAAGGGCGGCATATAAATCAAATTTAAAAAAAAGAAAGAAAGAAGAAAGAAAGAAAGAAAGAAAGAAAGAAAGAAAGAAAGAAAGAAGGGAAGGAAGGAAGGAAGGAGCAAGGCCATTAATCCTTCATCCTCTAAGATGCCCTCATAATATACTTATCTAGTTATTTGTTTAAAATGCTTTGCCCCCTCTTTTGTGTTAAACCATTAGCATTTGGTTGCACATCTCTGGATGAAGGGATTTAAATAAGCAAATACTTTACTGTAACTTATCATGAAATGTCCAGGGAGAGGCAAAACCCCTATGACTCCCCCAGGCACCAAGTCCTTCTCCCCAGCACAAGTGCCCCAGAATGAAAGGGATGGGGAGTTGGTTGGTAAGAAAGAAACATTTTCTTTCTTTTTACAATTCCCTTGCAGAGGGGCTGAGGGTATCGTGTAGTTTAGTCACTCCGTAAGAAGTTACTCCATAAAAGTACATCCAGTGAAAAGGAGTCAAGAATTTCCCAAAATTCTGGGTTTAAAAATGGCTCGCCCCATTGGTTTCCTCCTGACTTCCTTTCCATCATGGATTCCCTTGGCTTTTCTTTTACAGCCCATCCCCAAATCTTCTCCTCTCCCCAGCTCTGCCTCTTAATGCAACTACTTCCCTTTGACTGAGTCTTCTGGAGAACCAAGGGATTCCTTCAATGGGGGAGATGGCCCAATTCCTACCTGCCATGGTGGAAGAAATGACTTTCAAAAACCACGAGTAGTACTGGCACTACCTCCTATCGAGTCAGTGTCCGGTAAAGAGTGGTCAGTACAAGTGGAATCATTTAAAAGTGTTTACTCCTGTCCCTATGGTAACCCTGGACATTCTGAGATGCAAAGAGAATTCTCAGAGTAGAATCTGATGATGAAACGTGATGTCACTGCGGAAGGCAAGGAGCGCATCAGTGATGGCTATCGAGCTAAGACTGGGAGGAAGGAAAACATTCAGTCCTTCTCCTGACCACTCACCTTCCTTGGTAGCCCATCGTCACTTTCGCAGAAGCAGGAAAAAGTTTTTATCTGGGCAGTAGGTCACTTCTTTCTTCTTGAATAAAGTTTTCCTGAATGGCCAAAAGTTAGATGGCTTGCCCTACAAGCCATGCCCTACATTTCAGGACTATCACAAAAAAACATGGAACCCAAAGTATTTGACTTTCTAGATCCATTCCTGTGTAGATCTTTGGATGTTGGCAACATCCAAAGCCTTGTTAGATGGCCTTCCATGCAGCTGTGCCCACGATAGAATATAAATTGTGATGCTAAAGGCACAGCTGCCCATCAGCTGCTCAGCTGCAATCCAAACCCTATTTCTGCGAAGACTAGGAAGGGGGACCAGTGGGGCTCTGGTTGATTCTGGACTGCTGAAGGCCAAACATCAACTCTCCCTGAAAAATCAAGATGAAGAGATAGTCAGCAAGACACTAGATCAGTGTTTCTCAACCTTGGTAGCTTGAAGATGGGTGGACTTCAACTCCCAGAATCCCCCAGCCAGCAGCACTGGCTGGGGGATTCTGGGAGTTGAAGTCCACCCATCTTCAAGCTTCCAAGGTTGAGAAACACTGCACTAGATTGTGCAAAAATGGATAGATTGACATTGAAAATTAAAACAGAGATGTAGAATATTATCAAACATGGAATTTATTTTACCAATGGTTGGAAAAAAGGCGTGGAGATTTAGAATGTAGATTTGTATTGTTAAGCACACTAAATACCCAGACAACACGATGTTAATTAAGCACTGAGTAATGTATTTAATAGAAAATCAATAAAAATAATAATAAAAAATTAAAAACCTCTCCCTGAAAAATCTCAGGGTTAGGGTTGGACTATAAGATCTCCAAGGTCCCTTCCAACCTCATTATTATTCTATATTCTATGTTCTATATTATATATAATATTCTATATTATTCTATATCATGCTCATCATGAAATGGGAAGTATTGCAGGCTAATTTTGCTGACTGTCAGCAGTTCGATCTTGACCGACTCAAGGTTGACGCAGCCTTCTGTCCTTCCAAGGTCGGTAAAATGAGGACCCAGATTATTGGGGGCAAGAGGCTGGCTCTATAAACCACTTAGGGCTGGAAAGTACTGTGAAGCAGTAGATAAGTCTAAGTGCTATTGCTATCTTCCTTCCTTCCTTCCTTCCTTCCTTCCTTCCTTCCTTCCTTCCTTCCTTCCTTCCTTCCTTCCTTCCTTCCTTCCTTCCTTCCTTCCTTCCTTGTTAGAATGCAATGTTACAAGATAATTCTGCCGACTGCCAGGAGTTCGATCCTAACCAGCTCAAGGTTGACTCAGCCTTCCATCCTTCCAAGGTCGATCAAATGAGGACCCAAATTGTTGGGGGCAAGAGGCTGACTCTGTAAACTGCTTAGAGGCGGCTGTAAAGCAGTATATAAGTTTAAGTGCTGGTGCTATTTCCTCCGCATAAGCCAATATGGAGGTTTCTATTAGCTTTATATTTAAATTTCCTAATTTTAATCACTTTGTGTTATCTTTCCTACGTTTATTATATGGTATGCTACCCAGAGTCACTGCCTCAATGAGAGAGGCGCCATAAAAATGCAATAAATAAATAAATAAATACGCAAAACCTCTTCCTCTTAATCAGGAATAAAAAGCCAGTGCAAATTGAATTCACCACTAGATGGCAAAGGATCCTAATAGTGTCTCAGGAGCTGAATTCTTTCGTGGCTGAGAATAAATAAGTTATCATTTTAAGCTTTCCACAATTGTTTTCTATGCTCAGATTTAGAGGGAAAATAAAAACGCAGGTGGTTCTCAATTTAAACAATTCATTTAGTGACATTTGAAATTGTAACGGCACTGAAAAACCGACTTATGGCCGTTTCTCACACTTACGACTGCAGCATCCCTATGGTCCCAGAGTCAAAATTCGGAGGCTTGGCAACTGGCTCGTATTTATGATGGTTGTAGCATCTCAAGGTCATGTGATCCTCTTTTCTGACCTTCTGACGAGCAAAAAAATTTTTTTAATATTTTTAAATTTTTAAATATTTTTTAGTATTTTATATATTCAAATTTTAAAATTGGTTTTAAATTGATTGGGGTTTTAATTTGTTTGGGCCAAAACTATTTAATTTGATTTTAATTCCACTTTTAAATTTTGTATGGATGTGTTTTATTGTTTGGCTGTGCACCGCCCTGAGTCCTTCGGGAGTAGGGCGGTATAGAAATCAAATAAAATAAATGAATAAATAAATAAAATCAATGGGGACGACAGATTCACTTAACAATTGTGTTATTATTGCAACAACAGCTGTGATTCACTTAAGAACTGTGGCGAGAAAGGGCGTAAAATGAGACAAAACTAAGCTGTCTTGCTTAGCCACAGAAATGTTGGGCTCAATTGTGGTCATACCTTGAGGACTATCTGTAACTCATTAGAACGGATCAGACCGAAACCTGGAGAGAACAAGCAATCCAGTATGTTGCAAATTACATTATTCTTTATGTTTTTTTTGCCTTGAGGGCAGGCAAATACCCCATTGCAACTGTTCTCGTGGTCACTAAAAAGCCTCCTTATTTAAGTTAGGTTCCTCGGTACGCTCTGAGCTTGGTGGTTTTCTTCGCTTAAATATATTTTTATTATTTACATATAGATATATTGAATACAGTGTAATTGTCCTGGCATTCCACTTGCCATGAAACAAAGGTAAAAAAACAAAATAACATATATACTATTTTAAACAGTGCTGGTGTTGTACAGTTATTTCTGACCATCGTATTCTAGAATGTCATCTTATCTATCTATCATTCTCATACCTACATTCTAATACATACATAGCATTTCTTTCCATGTCCACATCTTACAGACGTTTCCTTACCAAACTAGGTAATACCATCAGTGCTAAAGGAAGCCATGATGCAACGGAACGTCTGCAAGAAAACCCAACCAAGCTCAGAGAGC